CAACCCCAATTCTCTCAGCCTGTATTCATAGGAGAGGTGCCCCAGCTCTCGGATCATCTTCGTGGCCCTCCTTTGGACTCCTTCCAAGAGCTCTGTCCTCCCTGTGCTGTGGGCTTCAGAACTGGACACAGTGCTCCAGGTGGGATCTCACAAGTATGGAGTAGAGGGGCAGGATCATCTCCCTCAACTTACAGGCCACACTTCTTTTGATGCAGCCCAGGATGCAGTTAGATTTCTGGGCTGCAAATGCACATTACTGACATGTTGAACTTTTCATTGACCAACATGCCCAGGTCCTCCTCAAGACTGCTCTCAATCCATTCTCGGTCCAGCCTGTATTTGTGCTTGGGGTTGCTGCAACCCAGGTGCAGACTCTGATTTGGCCTTGTTGAACTTCATGAAATGAGTCCTTGGACTTCACTTCGGGAGCTACTTCTATTTTACTGTCACGCCTTTTCCGCTTTTTATACTGGAGTTTCTGTATTCCTTTCATAAAACTGTAAAATTTCCCTTGTTAGCTGTCCTTTGTGACTACAGAATGGGTGGGTTTTTTCTGCCTGAACTAGTACCAGCAGTGTTCAAACTTGTTCAGATGTGGGCATTGCTTTATCCCTCTCATAGGTCGTCATCTCCTCCTCCATAATCACTCTATATAATTCCTCCTGGTTTTATTGCTCTTCCATGAGCTCCATGCAGTGTACCCACATTTTCTACTTAATCAGTATGTAACTGACATAAATTGTTTATAACCATAGCCCAAACAAGTAAAAGTATGCATCAACAAATAGGATTTTGCTTAACAGTCTCAGAGGAGGACCAGACAGTCAGACTTGGATAGTGCTTTGGTTTAAAGAATGAAGAAAACACACAGTTGTGCGTAAACCCTTTAAGAGACCAAGATTTACAAACAATTCCTAAATAAATCTGAAAATTGAAGAAAATAGGTTCAGCTTCAATTCTCTGTGGGTTAGTCTACTATTTCATGATTCTGCTGTTGTATATCCTCTTCCAAGGGTAAATCCAGCCTGTATTTGTGCTTGGGGTTGCTGCAACCCAGGTGCAGACTCTGATTTGGCCTTGTTGAACTTCATGAAATGAGTCCTTGGACTTCACTTCGGGAGCTACTTCTATTTTACTGTCACGCCTTTTCCGCTTTTTATACTGGAGTTTCTGTATTCCTTTCATAAAACTGTAAAATTTCCCTTGTTAGCTGTCCTTTGTGACTACAGAATGGGTGGGTTTTTTCTGCCTGAACTAGTACCAGCAGTGTTCAAACTTGTTCAGATGTGGGCATTGCTTTATCCCTCTCATAGGTCGTCATCTCCTCCTCCATAATCACTCTATATAATTCCTCCTGGTTTTATTGCTCTTCCATGAGCTCCATGCAGTGTACCCACATTTTCTACTTAATCAGTATGTAACTGACATAAATTGTTTATAACCATAGCCCAAACAAGTAAAAGTATGCATCAACAAATAGGATTTTGCTTAACAGTCTCAGAGGAGGACCAGACAGTCAGACTTGGATAGTGCTTTGGTTTAAAGAATGAAGAAAACACACAGTTGTGCGTAAACCCTTTAAGAGACCAAGATTTACAAACAATTCCTAAATAAATCTGAAAATTGAAGAAAATAGGTTCAGCTTCAATTCTCTGTGGGTTAGTCTACTATTTCATGATTCTGCTGTTGTATATCCTCTTCCAAGGGTAAAACTGGACAAAAATTGTATGTATTTTACAAAACATACACACCCTGAAAGCTGTGAAGCTGAAGGACATATAAGCATTTTGAACCCAAGAATCATGAAAACAGTATAAAAACATTTACGTTCTCATTAAAAAATTGACTCTGTCTAGGTGTATCCAGTTACTTAATTTAAAGCATCCAGGTTGCACAGTCATCTTCTTGGACAGAACACAGTCTGCCCATACATCCTAACTGGCATGATGAGGTTCATTCACAGCCATGTCAGTTATATTATATATCAAGTGGAATTAGTCCCTTCTAAGCCTTTGCACTTCAAACTTACAAAATTAATTATCACAAGGAAATGTGATAGAATTTAGGCTATGAAAGCTATTTGAGTATTGCATATGTTGCAACACACATTTACATTTGTCATTAAAAATCTCATTATAAACAAAAATTGAAAATTCTCTCTAAAAAAGTAAAGACATTCAAACTGCACTGAAATGCCCCACTGATGATTATTAATGCTTACTAAAAAAACCTGATTTTTTAAAGATTTGGTGAGTTCTCAAATTACCTTCACCATTTATTAAAAAACATCCAATATTCACATCAGCCTGAATCCCATTTTTCACAGGATAACAAATTATCTCCATATAGCAGGAGGGGTTTTATTCTAAATACTTTAATTATTATTACTAATTCATGTAATGATACTTCTCTGCTACTTACTTGCATTGAGCTACTTCTTAAAAAATGCTTGTTCAATGCCAAGCTTTTCCTAAGAGAAACACTTTGGAAATACTTGTTGCTGAATTTGGGTCCCTATATTCAAACTGAGCATATTTGGGAATGCTGTTGATTACTGAGCACACTGTGCAGTGAGAGCCAGATCCTGGAGATCAGACATGGATTTAGGGGAAGAAAGGAAAGCTGTCAGGCTGTTAGAACCCATCTCCCACCTTTTGTGTGCTTGACCCAGTATTTACAACCTCCTTCTCAGTCCCTCAGGCTTTTTTACCAAAAGAGGGATCTGAAGAGATGCTGTGACATTTAAGAAGCCAAGAAATACCTGCTCACTCTAGTCTGCAACCTTAAAATTGCAGACGTTTCTGCCTTGGGACCTCGTGAAGAGGAGGGCTCAGATCTTGTTTTTCACACCAAAGCTGTATTTACTCCAGTTGTACAGATAAAATGACATGAGGAGGAGGATACTTCATGCAATGACCAGGATCCATCAAAGTTCACCTACTGGTTGCATTAGTAAATAGTGATGTGTAATATGAATGATGGATGTTGAATGAAAGACCAAAATATGAATAAACTGACAAGAGAAACAGGTGATGCTAAAAGCCCAACTTCCCCAGCCATACCTTTTTCAGTGGGATTACTTCAACCTATATCTAGTTTGGCCTTACGGATTGAAAACCCATTACTGTTTGCTGGCACCAGGTGTGCTTCCAGAGCACACGTTCCAGTTCTGTTTCATCTGAAAGGAATCTAGTCTGCATGGTGCATAAAACATAACCAAATACAGCAAAGGGATATTTACTACAACAGCATATGTCTAATTTGAACTGAAACCCTAATGTGGACATACTCACTGGAGTCATGGTTGGATGTTCCACGCAGCAACAGTAGTAGGAAAGCAGCTTTTATGCCTATGAATTTCAATATTTTTTTTTGTTTGTTTATTTTTTGTTGTTATTGGCTCATATGGTAAGATTACTTAGTATAGCATTATTCAGCTCAAAGCAAACAGGCTCTGGGAACCCTTTGCTAAAATCACATCAGACAGACACTTGCAGGACCCCAAGCTGCCTAATGAAAATAATGACATTTTCACCTCCTGTGAAAGGGTCATGGGCATGAAATTCAGGATAGTGTAGTTAGTTTGGGCTCCTTGCTCTGGGGACTTGTTTTATCTGTTTCAAGTGCAAGACACCATCCCTGTTTTTCCCCCACCTTTTTTTCCCCTGCCTGAGGTATCTTTCCTTTATGTACATGCTATTTAGTAGTTGCTGAACTTTTTACTCTGTTTCATGTGCAGTTCAAGGCCAAGTATGGGGAACACATAAGACTGCTGATGCCCCACCACCACTCCAATGAGCAAGCTACATTTCTTCACCATAAATGTCAAAAATAGCCTCAAGTATCTGACTTTTAGGGAATGCTAAATCTAGTATTCTGCTTGTTTTTTAGAGAAAGTTGACAGCTATGGGAACATGAAGGAAAAAAATCTTTACTTATAATCACCATACTTTTACATACTATGAGAATGGATTGAAAGCTTATAAATTTTATTTGTAACTTAGTAATAAATTATTCCCTGGGTACTTAAAGAGAAGAGCTCTTTGATTAATTTCCTTTATAGATCTAAACATGCAGGACTATACCTCAGTGATAAGCAGTGATAGTTAGAGCAAATGCCCATTAAAATGAAGATACAGGAGTAAAAAACCCATAACTAATCAAACTGATAAACATTAGGAAAATTTGCAGATTTGCTTGCGTTATATTACTTTGTCTTAAAGCCTCCCTTATTCAGGTATTTTTGTACAAGTGTGATTACAAAGAGCTGACATAAAACGCTTGCAAAGGGGTTGCCAAAAGCATAGCATCAGTTCTTTTCTTATATATCTCCTACACAAGAGCATGAGGATTCGTGGGGACTTCTAAAACTTGAGATTATTACTGCAAGGTTTCCTTCCTTTGGAGAAGTAAATTTAAAAGTTCTTCAGATTACTATCAGCTGCACCAGGGATTCAAACAATGCCAAGAAACTAGAAACAGAATCCTTAAAATACGGTTACACACTTCAAAGGATACAATGACCATTTCACAGCCAGAAAGACGACCCACTACCTGGTGTGACTATCGGTCAACACTATCTCATTACTCTAGCTAGGCCAGTGTCACTAACAGCAGCACTCATCACTTCAGGTTTTGTCCAAAATTGAGAAGCTAATTTTCAAAATAACTTGTGTTAAATTCTATGGCCTATATGAGGCCACACGTAACGACGATCATAGTCCTTAATGGTTTTGAAATAGTTTATACATATAATAACATCCAACTAAATTCATTAGGTTTCTGAATGTTTATTTTCTATGCCGTATTTACTTTAGTAACAAGCTATAATATGTTGCATGCCATACATGACTGTGTAGTCTATTATGACAGTCACTTTACGATTGCTATTCTGTAAAACAGCATTTTCCCTTAAGAGAGTTAAGCAGAACAGGGAAGCTTTTCCTCTGAAACTTTTAGCTATACCAAAAGAAAAAAAGTAGTTCAGCATTGCCAAGTACCTTCTTTATCATCATGACGTATGATTGCATCCTGTATCATATCAGCCAGATTAAAACGAACTCGATGGCTCTTTCCATGTTTCAGTTTTTTCACGTAGCCCTCCCGTTTCTGGAAGGCTTTTTCTCGTTCATAATATGCTTTGATTTGGTCGCAGCGCATCCGCTTCACCAGCCGCTGCCGCTGGCCGAGAGGGAGGGACTCCAGCAAGCACTGCTCAATTTCCATCTCATGGGACCGGAAAACATTACATAGCTGGAAACAGCCTGTAAGAAATTACAGATAAACACATTTAGATCATGCAACAGTGTGTCTTCAAATGTGCCATGAAGCCTTGTGAAGAACCAGCCTCCATAAAAGATAATTCTCTCAACCAAAGTGACTGCGATAGAGACTTAAACAGACAAAAATAAAAAGAAAAAGAGAAACAGTGGCAACACTGTGGGGAGGGGGCTGTGGGCAGGGGCTCACACAATGAGGGACAGGGAGAGCCAGTCCCACCTTGCTGTGTTTGCAGCCAGGACCCAGCCCTTGCAGGAACCGCACCTTGGGACTGGGAGCTGAGCGGACTAAAAGACCAATCAAACTTATAGGTCGTTGCCGCCTGTTGTCCGCTGCTGCTGGAACAAAGGAGGGAGAAGAAAAGAAGATAGAAGACAGAGGAATAGGAGGCCAGATACAAGGGAGCCTTCTGTGGCTGGAAAAAGGAACTTGTTCCTGCTTTCTCTCATGGAGCCTGCTCGCCAAGGAGCTGCACAAACAGAGCCAAAGAAATGGTAGAAGGGAGCTGGAGGACACCAAAAAACGCTGGGATCACTGCTCCCCAAAGCCTCCGTCATCCAGCGCTCCTAGAGCAGCCCTTGCACCCGCGCTCCCGAGCTCCAGCCGCAGCTTCAGCCGTGTCCCTGCTGTCCCCTGGGCTCCAGCCGCCGCAGCAACCCCAAAGCCCCAGCAGCCGCAGTCGCGCCCCCAAGGCAGCCATCGCAGTTACTCCTATCAGTGTTTCTGAGCCAGGAGTAGTAAAACTCAGGTTCTGCATTGTATACACACTTAGATTCTTCTTATGTCAGCTAGGTGCCCAAATCTGTAATTTCTAAGGACAGTCAGTGGCCCAGATAAGAGAGGTTTTCTCTCCTTAGTTTGATAGAACAGCTTTTGAAGATGTAGACTCAACGCACCTTGGGCAGTTCAGAAATACTAAAACTAAGCATTATTATGCAACTTTAATTAGGTTGCTTTTGCCTACCCATTTTGCTAAATCTGTAATTACATCATTAAAGGACCCCTACCTCATTAAGGGCACCAGCTGAGTAGGTCCTGACTAAATGACCTCTTTGTTGCTTGACATATGTCAAATCTACTGAATATCATTCAAACTTGGCTCTGAAGGCATAATTAATAATTTCCTGACAGGCTTTTGTAAAGCTCACATCATCATAGCATGAAAATGCTTCACAAATATTTATTTTAATTTATAAGGAAAAAAAAAAGAAGAGGGATAAAGGGGTATTCTTATCTATCTCCTCTACTGAAGAACTGAAGGACAACAATTTTCTTTTAAAATCACTAGTTTGGGGGGTCCTATTCAAGAATTCTATATTCTTTTATTGATTTTTTTTGTTTTGCTCTAAAGGCATAAGATTCTATCAACTATTATGTATCATGAAATCATAATAAAATACTATCAAAGTGCTAGTCCTAGGTCTGCATGCTAATCACTCCATACATTATATCAATTACGTTGCATATTTATATGTTACATAAATTCAATGTGATATAATTTCATTATAGATTGCATTCAATTATATATTCCATTACATATTATACATACGCACTATGAATTAGAACCCAAGGTCTCAAATTAGATTTCCCAAAATGGAGGAGCACACATTTATGCAACAAGTGCCCAAAATGTCTTGTTGAGAAACTCCATAACTGAAGCAGATATGGAATACCATTCTACAGGTCAAGTTCAGTCTATTTGTTTTAACACAGGCTACCCTTTCCCTCCTATAATTTCTGTTCCTTTCTTAGCATGCCCTTCTAGTTAGAAGAAAATGAGTTGTCAAAGTAAAAAAACTGGAAACAAGTATTGGCTTGCATTAAGCCAAAACACAAACCCTTTATTTTTGTATGTAAAAAGCCAACAACTTCTTTATAAAAAAATCTTCCAGTTGACCTTAAATGATATGTTTCCTTTCTGAGCACATGTTGGAAAAGACAAAGAAATTAAAGGGTAGCTCCCTAAAGCTGCAGAGATGTAACTTTATTCCCTGCTTCCATCCCTCTGTTCAGAGCACTGAGTCAAAAAGGAGATCTGGACTCGGACCACCCTTGTTCCAAAGCAGTTAAAGACTGCATCTCTTTCTGTCACCATAGTATTGGGGAATAAGCAAACTTCAGATCTTCCCTATTAGAATTGTTAGACTTTTTATAAAATATCTCAGTACCCAGGCCTTAAGCCTACTCAGTGTTTTTGGCTTTTAAGTCTCTAATCCTGCACCCTAATGCTTCTAAAGCTGGGTATAGTGCCTGCCAGACTCTGAGGGAAACCAGCTTGCTGTGTTAAACTATGTACAAGAGTTTTACTTCTGCTCTGTTCCTTCCTTGTCTTTAAAGAAGGGAAGAAGAAGCACACTTGGGCTCCTACAGACTACAGCTGAAGTTGCTGTCTGTAACGGAAAACTCAGCTGAGGTTGAGAACTGTTGCTGTTGTTCTAGTCTTTGCTGTAAATCAGTGTTGTTTGTTGACAACTATATCTTTGCAGACTTTAACTGTATCTTTGTTTTTTCTCAGCTTAACTCATGTGCAGCTTCTGAGGAGGAACTGGTGGTGCTTGCTGCCACATCACAACTGAGAGTAGTGAAAGATGCAAGACACCTTTGTTGTCAAGAGTGCTTTACTCCTTCAGGATGAGAAGTCAAACAAATTATCTTAATATCTTGGTCAAATACAGTGCAGCAAAGATGGGTCCATACAGCCACATTTCAGTTTCAGGAAGCATGTGGCTGCCTTAAGTGTGCTCTGCCATTCCAGTGGCATGACTTTGAGCCTGTGAAACTGCCTGTCGATTTGTTCCATGAAGAGTGATCGATGCTAGAACTGGCCTCATGTACTGGTTTTCGTTTGAGGCTGGAGTCAAACAGCGCAGGCAGAGTGAGAAGACTCTTAATCCACTTGGGCACTGTTCTCAACTGAGAAGTAATGAGTTGCAAACAGGATTTTTTTCTCTCAGCACAATTGGAACCTGATACTTGCAATCAGCATCTAACTGTGGATATAACAGCTTCAGGTCAGCAGCCTCTTTTGGTTAAGCTGGACATAAACAACATAGTAAAGGTGCAGATAAGGCAAACACTCTTAATTAATCCTCCAGATGCACATATTTAAAGCATGTAATGCTCGGTTCCAGTTTTAGAACCAGGCAGATCCCTGCTCTTAATATGGCGGCCTAGAGAGCGTGCAGAACTAGTGATGGCACAAGAGGCAGAGTTTCTTGCTATCACACCAACGGAGCCAGACTCAAACCCAAGAGAGGTATAGACAGAGTTATAGACATGCTTCTGGAAGAAATTCTGGGCATCTGCCACTTTGAGCATGGGGTTAAACACTTTCACAGGCAACTGTGTTGTCTGGCAGAGTCTTGAAAATCTCCATTAATGGAGAACCTCCAAATTATCTCAGGAACCTGTTCCAGTGCTGCACTGCCTTCTATCAAAAATGCCTTAGGATTTTTTAATTATTTTTTTTTTCCTGTGTGTGTGGCCACTACCCCTTGTTACTACTGTTTCTACTGACAAGAGTTCAGGTCTGTCATTTTTGTAATTATCCTGGTAGCCTTCTGCTGCCATCCCTCCATTTCTCAATGTTCACCTGACACTGGGAGTATCAAGATTACACATATACTTGCAGCTGCAGCTTCACTAGCCCAAAGCAGAAATGGACAATGTCTTCCCTCACTCTGCTGGCCATACTCCTGCTAATATAGTCCACTGTGTGGTCTGCCTTATTTACAGCCAGCATGCAGCTCTGGCTCCCATTCAACTTTGCATCTCCTGTAAATCCTGCATCCTCTTCAGCAGGGCTGCAGCTAAAGTCAGTCAGTTCCCAGTCTGTACCAATGCACAGGGTTAGGCTGTCTCAGGCATGAAAATATGCACTTCCCTGGTCAAACTGTACAGAGTTTCTGATAGTCTAATCCTCAGGATTAAGCTCCTCCATTTAGAGTATGCCAACCACTCTGTCCTAATTTAGCATTGCCAATAGCAGCAACAGCTTCAGCTAAAAAAACCCAACCAAATAAACAAACAAAATAGCTGCTAAAATCCTCAACTTTAATAGGTGGGTGTAAACAGTTACTGTTTAGACATTGATGACTCAGCTACAGCCAAGCTTGAAAGAGAAGCTATTAGAGCTTCCTAAAGAGTAATCTGTGCAGCAGGTCTGTCCTTCATTTTCTCTTCTGTATATGAGAAAAACAGCATAACCATCAAACTGTACAATAACCTTGTCCAAGACCAATTCAAATAGCAGAAGATAAATGGAAAACATGACCTCAGCCAAAGTTATGTATGCTAGTCAGGAGGCAGTATGGTAACATGAGGCTTTATGAGGAGCATCTGAGAGAACTGGCGTTGTTTAGCCTGGAAAGGAGACTGAGGGGAGATCTTATTGCTCTCTACAACTACCTGAAAGGAGGTTGTAGCAAGGTGGGGGTTGGACTCTTCTCCCTAATAACAAGCAATAGGACAAGAGGAAATGGTCTCATGCTGTGCTAGGGGAGTTTTACATTGGATATTAGTAGAAACGTCTTCACTGAAAGGGTTATCAAACACTGGAACAGGCTGCCCAGTGAGGTGGTTGAATCACCATCCCTGAAGGTGTATAGATGTGGTACTTAGGATCATGGTTTAAGCACTGCACTTGGTTAAGTTAGGCTATGGTTGCAGCCGATGATCCTAAAGGTCTTTTCCAACCAGAGTGTTTCTGTGATTCTGTGAAGAAAGATTTGTGGGTAGGGAGAAAGGCTGCCTTCTGAATCAATTTGCATGGGAGTTTATATCTCATTACATAAGATACCATATTTGAAGATTATTTTATGTTGGTTTTGCCTCAGTGTATGACAAATTACAGTTATGTACAGTGATTTGATAAGGTCATTGTGACCGTCACGGTATATTGCGCTGGAGAACTCATTAGCAGTGTCTCCATCAAAACACTGAAGAAGCTTACCAGGGTAATATGTATTTAATTAACTGCCCTGGA